CTTAAAAATTTGTGTGTGTATGTGTGTGTCTCCTACTATATACGGTTTCAATTTTCAATTGAATAATATCTTATCTACCAGCAGCAACCACAAGATCTCGTAGTTTTTGAATTAAATACTTATCGTGTATGATAATAACTAACTAGTACAGAGTCTGTGCGATGCACGGGTTGTACAATTTTAAGGCTATTTATCTAAACTTATAATTATATACATGAATAAAAAAAATATACGGGATATATATAGTACGTGACCCGTGCGAAGCACGAGATATATTTATTTGGAGAATATTATATTATAAGATGCAATATTCAATAAAAGTTTATAATAGGCAAGAAATTGTACAATGTTCAATAAAAGTTTTATAATATTCAAGTGGAGTCTTAAAGTCTCTTGTAGACTACTGACAAAATAATATTTTAATCAATGAGTTTTTTTTTCTTGTAGCTAAATTATGAATGTGATTTGAGGAGTACAACAAATTGATATATAGCTGACTTGTTTTTCTCATTGTAGTTTTTTTTTTATAATGAATTTAAAGATATTCTAAAATATAGCAAAAATTAATTTTTTTATTACAATTAGGAATTTTACTAAATATAAACTCTCAATCTATGGTGTTAATTAACGTTTAAGTCCAAAAAATTAGGAATTTTTACCTCTTTTAATCAACGTTTAAGTTTAAAAAACATTAGAGTTATTATAAGTTTTTTTTTCTACATCTTTTAAAACATTAAATATGAGCATGTTAGGACTAGCTTGTAAAATAATTAATATATTATCTCACTAAAACATTTATACTAATAAAAATTTAATTTTAGCATATAAATTTATCCCTTGATATAAGAGAAAGTAACAGTTTTACTTATTGTTGTTCGCCATATAATATTTAATTATTATTTTATTATATAATAAAAAAAATATTGTTAAATAGTGTGGTAGAATTGTTATAAAATTATATGATTTTTTTTTTTCAATATGGATTTAATATTTTTTTATGATTTGATAATATAAACAAATCTATACTTAACTTTGACAAATAAAACAAATAAATACTTTAGTAAGTATTTAATGTATATACTAAATAGGAATATATTTGGTATAATCAAATACCAAATAAAATCAAATAAGTCATAGTATACATTTTTATTTGGTATTGGAATTTTTTATTATTAAAATCTTTTTATTACACTTACCTTTTAAAAATAAAACAAATAAATAAATCAATTAAATAAATAAAATATTATAATACCAAAATAGTAATGACATTTAATGCAGTTGACTTTTATGGATAGTAAATGTAGTAAATAAAATATCCTTTTATATAGTATAATACGAAAATAGTAATGCAATAAATGCTGTTGACTTTTCTGGCTACTTAATTTGGTAAATAGTATCCTTTTAATATAAGTACTAGCACGTAGCGCGTGCGATGCACGGGACATAAGTATTAATGGATTATTTCCACAGAACTTATCCGTTAAGTAGCTCGTGCGATTCACGAGAGATATTAAATGAGTGGAGCATAAGGTTTGTCCGTTCAGGTCTAAAAAATAATAGAGTTTGATCATCTATCTTTTTACATCTTTTCATCAACGTCATATTTTTTGTCGGAACATTAAACCTGAGTCTGGTAGCGTTAGCCCGTAAATTAATTAATATATTATCTCGCTCACATGTTTATAATAATATAAATTTGATTTCATTATATATATTTATTCATTGATATAAGAAAAATAACAATTTTACGTAATCTTGTTCCTCGTATAATACTTATATTATTTCATTATAAAATTTATTGTAGTATAATGTCATTATTATTATAAGTTATAGATGTAATCTTCTTCTTCTTTTTGTTTTATGTAATTAAAATATTTAATGTATGTTCATATTATTTATTAATGTAATTAATTTAAATTATGTAAATAAATTTAAAGTAAAACATTTTGTACAAACATTTTACAAAATATACACAAATATTTTTTTAGAATTTAATTTTTTTACAATAAATAACAGCTTTGAAATTCTATGCAATTATTAAAACCAATTAAATCTGCTTTATTAAAACCGATTAAATCTTTATTTATAGGCTTGACATTAAAATCGATTTTATGAGATTATTTTAACTAAACCGATGTTATGGAATAAAACAAATCTATACTTACATTTGACTTTTCCAGCAAAGTAAAAAAATCGGTTTCTGATTTTTATGACATAACAAATCTTTAATGTCAAGCTATAAATATCAAAACAAATCTGTAATTAATGTCATTCTATTTCCAGCAAACATTAATTACTTTTGACTTTCCTTTATACTAAATCTGATAAATGGGATATCTTTTAATATAAGTATAGATAGATAAGTTTCTACAATTTGTGTACATGGTAAATGGGAAGGTGAAACTGTTGAAATCAATACCCTTTCACGAGGTGAAAATGTTCAAATTAGTACTCTTTCACGAGATTTGGATAAGACTCTGTGGGGAATAAGATGAGAAAATGTGCATCCATGTTGGTGACCATTGACAAGATTAAAAATCTCAAATAAAATATGAAAAGTGAAAAGAGGAATTTCATAAAGTACACACTACCATGATACCGTAAAAGATAAAAAGCTGTTTTATTCTTTATTTTACTTTTAAGATCAAATGCAATTATGCAATGTTTATATGAAAAAACAATAATTCATTTATGAATTTCAATATATCAAATATTTATTCAATCAGCAAGGATATATATCACCAGAATACCATGTTGAGAATTGGAAAGAAAAAACAAATTTGATTCTACTGGTGAAGTCAATTGCCTGATCGAGTTTTTAATCATATCTGATCACATATATTCATATGATCGTGTGTTGATCAAATAGAAAAAAAAAACAAAAATAAAAAAAATTCGGTGTGATAGAGTTGAAATTCAGAATGATACTCATTTAGGCAAGGTGATAGAAATACAGAATGATACTCATTTAGTATGTATTGTACACAATTTTAGAGATAAATTTAATACTGTGCTCCATGCATTTCTTCAATATTCAACTCCAACATAATTGGATAAGGTTTTAAGTACAAATCTCAAAAACTTTTTAAGGTGCCATGTGATCCAATCAAGGTAACACAAGGAGTTAAAACTGAAAAGCCATTCTCCAAAAGTCATGGACTGTAATGTAATTGTCACATCCAATGATGAAGAAACTAAGAACAAGATTTGCTGGTTAACTTTTGATGCTAATTATGAATAAATTTGAAAAAGTGACATTCAAGCTGCAGCAAGACAACAAGCCCAGAAGAAGACAACTTAAAGGGAACCAAATTCACCTATTTTGTTACAAGTGTTCATAAAATAGTGTGATGATTAACACTTGTTTTGGCAATATTAGGGCTCAACTTGTTTTTAGTGATTACATATACATTATCTTCTATTCCCATCATTAATTTTTTCAACAATTTATTCTGAATTGATTTATTTTTTTAGATTATTTGTATTTGCATTATATAACTAACAAATTTTTAGCAATCTTATTCTTCTCTTTACGGCATACACGTGTTAATATGCTCACCATATGTTGTGACAAGAGATTATTCCTAGGCAAATTATATTAACATACCATACACAATGAATAAAGTATTCCAAAATTGTGAACTATGAGAAATGATTATTCTTTATTTTGGCACATCATAAATTATCTTCTCTTTTTTTTCAACAAAATTTGTCATATTTTTTCCATACCACATAAAATTTCGTTATCCTTTGTAAAAGGATTCCAAAATACATATTCTACACAGCATAGAATATTTTCTCCTATTTATTCCAAGTTCAGAGAAAAAAGCGGTCCAAAGGATTTGGGGCAAACTCTACACCCTACAGTGGCTTTTCAAAATCTCAAAAGTTAGGGAACACTTTTGGGTGTAATTAGTATTTCAAAAAAAATTTAAGATTTTAGAAATCTTGAATTGAGATGTTCAATTGAGATTACAAGAAGACTTAAAAAATCATGAAGTATTTAACTTATTTGACAATGAAATTTATTTGCCGAGATTTCAAAATGAAAACTACATATATGGTATATCATACCACCACCAAATGTCACCTTGAGAGTTAAGATATCACTAAATTAAAAAATCTTAAGACTCTTGAATTTAAAAAAAAAAATGTCACTCAAAATCTCAAAGAAATACACCCCCATTTATGTTTCATATAAAAGAAAAAATGTCACTCAAAATCTCAAAGAAATTACAAGGGTAAGGTCTGCGTACAACTGACCCCCCAGACCCCAACCTGTTGGGAATATACTGGGTATGTTGTTGTTAATGTATAAAAGAAAAACAAATAATCAAATACTTATACATAAGTGTTGATCTGAAAAAATAGTAGAATTAACAATTCATGTTTTGGTAATTATTATTATCTATCAATTCTCCATAAACTATTATATTAATACATTACTTTCATACTACATATTCTCTCTTTTTTTCCATACTCTCATTATTTTCTATACTTTTTTTAGATTCTGATTATTCTCTTTCCATTGTTTAAGATTTTTTATACTGTATAATGGGAAGAACAGTCAAACAACAAATAATCAGAAACAAACAATTCAACCTAAACCCACGCTTAATACTTAAAAAGAATATTTTGTAGTCTCCTCAATAAGTAGGAATATCCACTCAATGAAATTGACATTCACAAAAGTGATGCAAAAAGCATCTTTATCTTTATTCCACTTCCAATATTCTTGATCATTTTTTTCTCAATAAGTTACACCACCACAATGGCTGTCACTATTTGATTTCTACTTAGACCTCAGGAAAATTACTTATAAATATAGCATAGGGCACCATAAAACCAAGATTGGGGGGAAATTTTTATTCTGCACACAAAATAAAATAGTGCTTTTTTTAATCTATCTAGAAATCCAAAAAATGTTCACATATATAATCGTGATTATTAACTGTTAAAATGCATGGCTCGCAACAACTGAGAGTTGAGTTAAACAAGACTTACAATACCAATAGCATAGCGGCAAAAATGGTCCAGTTGGAAATTTCAACGGGTTTGGTGAGTTTGGGTACATTTATTTTTACTCGTTTTTCGTCATCATATTCGTCAGTTTTTGCAACCAGTTCATGTATTGACCGTGCTCCTTATTGTGCAGATGGATAAGGAGTGAGTTTGCAAAGTTCTTTTCTATGCCTCTAGCAGCTAAGTATTGTCTCAGCCCATTTTGCAAAGACGGGTCCAAATCACTGCGGTAAGAAAAAAAGATTTAGCAGTGAATTAATAAACATTTCTCTAGCCAAAACGAGACCAATTATAAGGTCCTTGTATAATATATGACCCGAATTATCTTATTCTTGAGTTCATTATAGGAAAAAGTTGCATCGAGTAAGTATTTCCCAACATAGAATCCTATCTGTCCGTATAAAAATTAAAAAAAGGGATAAATATCGAACTCCAATGGAACTTGCAGTGCAAGTTGTACAACATTTTCTTGGAGAAGGAGAAGGGAAAGAAAAACTATCACAAAAAATATACTAATTCTCATTCCTGATCAGTATGCAGAATATATTTTTTTTTTCTTTTTTGTGCAGAAATGCTCGATTCCTAGGTCAGACTATGACTCATGTCCAAAGACAAAACAAAGCCCATCAAACTCGACAATGTTAAGCAGAAGTAGGTAGAAAAAACAAGGCTAAATTGCATACTAAATCCCAACCTTTACTTCATTGCAATTTAATCCAACCTTTTAATTTTGGCAATAAAAAGCACAAGCTTTTATTTTTTGTAAATCGAAGCATGCAGTTAACAAACCGACTGCCAGAGGCTGACACATTATCTAAAGTAGATAGAGTCGGTTTGTTGGCTACGTGCTTCAATTTGCAAAAAGAATCAAAAGCTCATTGCCAAAATCAAAATGTTGGGATTAAATTGCAGACGATGTAATGTTGTTGATATTTAATTTTCAATTTAGCCTAAAATAACGAGAATTTAATAAACTCCGACATTTGATATATAGCTAGAATGGTAGCCGAGAGGGAAGGGAACCAAATATTCCCATCAGGTAAGATATATATTCAAACCAACAGATTGAAACGGGCCCTTCAAGTCCTAAAGTTTGCTCCCACATCTCAACACCAACAAAACACAGACAGTTAACCTCAAACGAACTATACCTGAACAGGGGCCCTCTATAAGTTGAGGAATCAAAGGGTTTAGAGGGCAATAAGCAATGAGCATTCTGAATGTCGAAATCGAGCTCTCCTCTATTGGAGGCCACACAATCAAACTGCAAGATCGAGTTCATATCGGGTTTCTTTACACATATTTTCATCAAAGCTTCCCTGGGCAGCCTCCCGTCCCCTTGAAACGTGTAACGGCCCAACAATGCCGAGACAGCTAATTCCTCACCCGACGAGCATTTTTTTCTCAAGACTACGTCTTGGGACTTGGGAGAGTCCCATTCCACTACAAAATCCCCAAATGATCCATTTTTTTCATCCTACACAAACACAAATACTCAAAAGATGTGTGAAACTAAAATTGGGGAGTCTAAGCCCATCTATCCCTTTTTATTTCGGAAAAAAATACTTAAAATTTCTCTCTAAGATTTCCTATTAAAACATAATTTGGTCAAGAAAGGACTATGTATTCCCTCTCCTAATAATCTCTGATCAAATGTCCTGAAACTGGAATTTACACAAGTAAGAGGGGAATCTTTTTGCATTACTCACGATAACGATTCGACTAGTCTTCTCAGTACCATTTTAAATCATCGTACATACAGCTCACATGACTGATCTATCATCTCAATTTTATTGAAACAACAAAGCATAAACCACTGAAAAANAGGGAAAATCCTTTTAAAATGCTGATAAAACACAGAAGAGGAAAAATCGACCTGATGCCGCAAAGAGGAGAGTTCGTAATTGAGCTCAGATTCCAAAATTTTAAGCAAATCCAAATCTGGGAAGGCTTTACGAGCTCTGTGGAGAAGCTTTGTCACCCTCGGCATACTATCACTTTGCTTTTTCCTTATTTGTGCAGTTGATTTTTTATTTTTTTTTGGTTGAGTTTACAGTTGTTAAAAAATTGCAGCTTGGAAGTTCCCATATGTATTTGGTTTCTGTAAAATGTCATATGTTCATCATAAAAGGCCCAAACGGGATACCATTTTTAGTATGGGCCTATGGCCCATATGTATATTGGGCTTTACTACGTCTCCTTTTGATGCCCACTGGCCCGCCTAATATTTGACTATGCTAAGTATTATGAGAAAACTAGTTAGGTATACGTGCGATGCACGGGAGCATTTACTACCTATTTATTTTTTAAAAGGTATTTTTGTATTTAAATTGTCTCATGACATTAAAAATATCATGAAAATAAGAATTTATATGTTATTAAACACTTCTTTATGTACAACATTATTGGTTTGATTCATTGACACGCAAAATACTACAAAGGTGTTCGAATTTTATCTAAAATTGTATATTAATTAGTTAACAAATTTTAAAAAAATCAAAGGATCTTATTAATTAAACTAATTATAGTATAAAAAAAAGTAGAAATTTTTAGCGATTTTCATCCATTATTTATTTTAAATCTAATTCTAAATTTCAATTAAGAATAATTAAAAGAATCATTAATTACTCCTAAAAACGAAACCGATTTTTCTACCAATAAACCGATTTTTTTATCAAACAAATTGATCCGAATATTTTTTAAACCGAATAAAAAAATCATCAATTTTTCCTAACACTGCACCGATTTTTTTAACAAACAAATTAAATTGAAAATAATTTTAATAAAAAATTGAAACAGTTTGTTAATGTTTATGCAATTGTCTCTTTCCAAAAAAAAAATTATATGAACTTAACCAAAAATAAAAATGATATGAACTTACCAAAATCTCGGTAAAACATGGTTAGGAAAAAATATAAGAATAAAAAAAATCGATGCATTTAAATTTTGAAAAAAAAAATTGGATAAAGTGACTTTAAATATCAAAGATGAACCGCTTTTGTTACCAAAAAATGTGGACACAATTTTGAATGTACATCCCGTCCAAATATCAGTTTGATTCGAAAATAAAATTGCACGTGGTTTTATCCAATTTACACACTTTTTTTAAAATAAAAAATTATTCAATAAAATTGGAAGAATTGGTTAAGAATTATACAACTATTTGTTTCCTAAATTTGTATTCAATTTGTACGGTTTTTAAGTTAATTTGTATTTAGAATTATTTTCATAAATAATTCACACATTTTTCGCATAAGAATCTCTAAATTTGTTACCAAAAAATATATGATTTAAATTTTGGTAAAAAAAATAAAATATGATACGAACAAAATGGAATTCAAATTTTGCCATAAGAATCTCTAAATTAGTTACTAAAAAAATAGGATTCAGATTTTGTTACTAAAGATTCACATGTATTTTTTCAAACTTTACATTAATAGTAAGTTAAACATTATATTTATTTGGTTAAACTTTCTATTAATGTATTTTTCCAACAACCTATTTATATATATATATAAATATAAATAAATATAGATAGATATAGATATAGATATAGATTACGCATTCCACGGCCATATACTTCACGGCCACATACTTTTTCCCGAACTCCATAATGGTGAAGGAACACCATTAAATTTGACAGTTTGTACATACAACAATCAACAAATTGATGAATATAAAGAACTTATATTGAGAAAAAAAGGTAAACGTTAACCTCGTCAGATCGCGGAAAAACACAAATTATTTCAGAATTGGATTAAAGTGGCTCCATTAAAAAAAATAAAAAAAAAAAATTAGGACGTTTGTTTGAATGTTTATGAAATCTGTAGGTTTCTGTCAAAGATTAAAAGCAGGCATTTTTTTTTTATTAATTTTATGTGTTATTTAATGGACATGATAGAGTTTTGTATATATGATAATATATCTTTTCACTGTGTAGTAAACATGATTTACATTAAAGGTAGTCAATAACTTAATATACAAGTTGACTCATAACACTCCATCTGGGAAAAAGAGCCGGAAAACAGAACCGAAAATGAAGGCAAAACAACCAAATAAAAAAGGAAAATTCCATTACAAGACCCAACTTTTTGTAATTGTATCAATTTAAGGCTTGAATTTTATTTTTTCTCAATAAAAGACTTACATTTTAAATTATTCTCAATTCAAGACCTATTTTTTTTAGTTAACTTTTCATTGTAAGGCCCAACTAACTTTACTTTTTGAAATAAATATGTGAACAAACTATTATGTATTATTTTTTCTTGTAATTTATATTTTACATATTTATAATAAAAATAATAAATATCTTTAAAAAATTTACATTAATAAAAAAACTGAAACTATATATATTATATATATAAAAAAATTTAATAATAATTATCTTAAAAAATTGATACGTGAATTTAAAATGTGTAATGGAAATATTATTTTTATTACTAAATTAAATAGGGACTATGGCATCAACTTATGCGTAAAAAAAATAAAAAATTGAAAAGCTAAAATAAAGGCAACATTATTAAAATATTATTTTTTATTTTATTGCATATTTATATTATGAATAAAAATAATATTTTAATTGCATATCTTTTAAAAATTATCAATTTTAAAAATAATCCCACCCGAGTCAAGTTCTTAAAAAATTAAAATAATTCTACAATCTTTATATTCAACGTTTTGACAAATAATAGGTGTGTTTATGTGTGTGTATATATCAAATTTGGGCTCTTTTTAACGAGGAAACTTGGCCAATTATATGTGTGAATTATTACATTCAGGAATAAACAATCTTCTACCGTGCTTTTATATTTTAGTTCTAAATTACATTTCTTTATTATTTTAAATATTTAAAAATGAAAAGTAAAATAGTAAGACGCATAAACAATGGCAATTATGCAAGGTGATTGTGGGGTAAGCTAATAAAAGTGACCAAATAATAATTTGATTTGAATTGACAATGTGACCACCGGGGACATGNGGAGGCAATCATTTATTGTTTTTAAACAAATAATAAAATGAGAAAAAAACACAAGAGAGAAACAAAAAACACAAATTTATCTTCTCCAATGATGAGACGGGCTCAGCTCAAGAGCTTCCAGCCAGCCTTCTTAAATTTTCAACGACAAATTGCACGACCATTTTCAGACATTAAATCGCGTAGTTAAATGGGCCCATAACTCCCTTCCACACAGATACGCCATGTGAATTGCGTTTATGCTGTCAACAACAATAATTCGTTAGCTTGAAAATTGCCATCTTGGCAAGTGGCAACTGTACCGTTATCGACTTTTGTAGGAGAATGATTAGATATTTAATCGGATTCACTTGTTAAAATGAATTAATTTTGAACGGAGAATTGAATGTTAATTTCAGTTTGCATTTAAATAATATCTAGAATATTATAAATATAGTCGATGTGAAATAAAAGTAAGAGATAATTTATTGAAAATAATAAGTAGTTAAAAATATGTGAATTGATGAATAATAAACTAAATTTGATGTGGTGTCTCGTAATGATTGGTTGATAGTATTTAATTATATTGAAAATTTCATGAAAGCTGGATTGGATTAAAAATCGTCCAGTCAGTCAAAAAACTTGATGAGTACAGTACGTTAACCTGTACCTAATAACCAATTGAAAAACCTGAAATGTTTGACAACTCACCATCCTTCCTACTGATATGCGCGATGAACGAGTCGAGCTCCAGCTTAGACTCGCCGCCTTCCTCCATCGCGCCCCTCACGGTGGCCGCCAAATCCCGAGCACGCTTCCTGAGGTCTTCCGAGGCCATCAGACACCTGACGGCGTTCTCGATTGTCGAGGCCTTCACGACCTCCCGCGTCTTGGACCACTCTCTCACGGGTAGCCCGACTTTCAGTATCTCGGTCACGAGCTTGGCGTTGGTCGGCTGGTCCGAGTGCATGGGCCAGGCCGCAATCGGGACACCGGCCACGATGCTCTCGATGCACGAGTTCCACCCGCAGTGGCTCATGAACCCGCCTGTCGACCCGTGAGCCAGAATCTCCGTCTGTGGGGCCCAATCCCTCACCACCAATCCCTTGCCTTTCATCCTCTCCTCAAAACCTATAGGGAGGCCAGAAAATGAACCTAGAGTTAAAAGTTTGAAGATGCTAGTCACATAGTGTTCTTTTAATTTCACTTTTTATATATAAAACTTGTCAAATAAAGCATGAATTCTGATTCAAGCTCCATTGCAGATCATGGAGCTTAAACTCATAGGTTTCAATGTGGGTTACTGTGCTTAAAAACTGATTTATATGCAAAGATATAGTATATACTCATAGATGTAGTTGAAAAGCAAGTGATATTGATAAATTAACTAAAGTTATAATCAAACCATACTTATTTGAATCCCAAAAAACATATAAACCAATCCATATCTATATAACAACTCAACTAATGATACTAAATATAACATACATTTTTCCGCCCAAAATATTTTGACTCTAAGTGGATTTTTTTTTTCTAAATTCATACAATAAATAATTAATTAGTTGTATCAAAAATAAAGTTCAACTTAATAGAAATTTTACTATCGAAGTTATATCAATACTTAATCTCAATTTTTAATTAATTGAATATATATATTATTTATGCTACATCTATACATAATAATTAATAAGTTAAGAATTAACTTATGGCACTTACCAAACCCAGTGTACAACTCAAATTCAGTTAACCTATCATTAGGCTCAAGCCAGAATCACTATATATACATAATAAGTTACGAATTAACTTCGTACTTACCAAATCAAGTATACAACTCAAACTGAGTTGGCCAAATACAACTCAAACTGAGTTAATCTATCATTAGGCCGGAGTCTGAATCATCAAATTGTTGATTTCATATCTCTATTTAACAAAGTTAATAACAATTGCATAAAAAGGGCTGACCTGAAGGCAGCTGAACATTCCTAACTTTTCGGTCGAAAACATCAGCCTTGTCAGCATCCCGGAGCACCCATAGAAACCCGTGCCCGCTCGACTCTAACCCGAGAGCCAGCTCGGTTATCTCCTCGTCGGTCAACGAGCACGTGGTCCCGAACGTGACGTACAAAACCGACCCTACCTTTTGCCCATCGAGCCACTCTAGGCACCCGTGCCGCTTACCCGAACCCGACCCGACCGACTTTGCTGCCAGCATGGGCCCGACGGCCCACACCTTCCGACCTCCTTGGGCCTCGAGAATGTCGAGAAACGGGCCCTCCATAGCCCGACATGTGTTGTAAAGGCTGCCGGAGCTGCGTTGGAGGGCGGGGTACTGGCCGCCAATGAAGACCTGGAGGTCGTCGGAAATACTGGCGGAGATGAGGGGAAGGTGGCGGAGGGCGGGGACGGGGCAGAGGATTCCGGCGAGCTCGTGGGTTAACTTGACGTCGCAGAAGGCGGAGAGGCAGTTGAAGGCGTAGGACTCGAGGTTTTCGGGGACGACGGAGGAAATGAGGGGATCGTGGACGAAGACGACGCGGCCGGGGAGGGCGGCGGCGAGGGCGGCGAGGGGGGCGCGGAGGTG